TAAAATTTGATACAGTTAACTTATTAATGTATGTGAATTCAACTTCCAGTTATACCTATGTAACATTGGAGTGGTTATTGTTAAATTCAGACTATATATATATATAAGAAATAAATATATAATTCGTTTAGAATAAATCAAAATAGATAAGTTAATTATTCTTAATTAATTTTTATTCTATAAATATTCTTGATGAGATATAATAGGAATAAAGTAATTAATTAGACAGTACATTAGGACTATATCTAATATTAATTACATTTACTAAAGTAAAAGAATTACTTAAATAAAAATAAATGCATCAATAATTCTCCTCTCCTACTTTAATGACAAGTTAGGAGGTATACCTACTTTAATGGCAATTTAGGAGGAGCACCTGAGGAACAAGGGCCTTCACTAATAAGAAAAGATGTGGCAAGAGAAAGATTGGTTTAATATGAAGGTTAACATAAATGTGAAGATTTCAATATTGGGATGTCAAAGTTTACGTTACTATAATTTAATTTAATCTACAAATATATTTTGAGTTAAACTATATTATTGGATGTTGTTGATTTTTTTAGTACATTTAATCAAAATAAAGTTAGATTGTGATCCATAAAATTTAGATTCTATAAATTTAATTCAACATAATTACATAAAAAATAGTAAAAATGTTATTTGTCTAATTTTTCATTATAAAAATAATTGTATATTTTATAATATAAATATCATTTGTGTATATACTATAAATTAAAAATATTTGTTTAACTTTTGAAATTATTCAATATAATGACTCATTCAAAAGTAATTATAATTAGAGTGGATTAGATTGAGTTAGGAAAATAGTATACTCAATTTAAAATGAAATAAAATTAATATAAAAAGTAAATTGAATGTTGGCTTGTCTTGCACTCCTGATTAAATAGTGGTGTAAAGACGGGTATAAACTTCTCTCCAACTTCCAAGAATTCTTTGCCGTCTATGTCAAACTAATAGCTAATAATTCTTAACAATGTTTTGTTTCTATTAGATTAATGACATTAACAATGTCTTTTATAAACCCATAGAAATTGCAATATTCAGAGGCAATGTTTGCCCCACCAAGTAATCATCCAATCAACCAACTTATCCTACCACATTTTGTTTTTAATATAAAAAATAAAAAATTTATAACAATTTGCACACTATTTAATCAATTGAGTTAAACTCTTTTAATCACGTATTAGTGGACTCATTAAAGTTATTCTTAACCTTCAGCTAATGTGGTGTAGTTCTTTATTTTTAAAAGTCATAAGTCTATTTTCATTCAAACCAACAAAAACATTCATAAAATCATCATAAATTTCATAAGTCAAAAGTTTATTAAAATCAAAGAAAAATACCATAATAAAAAAATAAAAAATACAAAAGAACTTTATTCACTTATATTATTGCAATAAAAACAAAAAAAATATCATTAATACTTTTTAATGGATAAAAACAAGATAAACAAGTAAATTTAAAGATATTATCTCAAAATAACTATATTGTTTCACTAAAATGTGTGAAAATTACACTACTAACTATTATAGAGAGAAAAATGAAAATATTTTATTTTATTTTACAAACACACGTGTAGAACAAACAGAGAACAAAAAAAAACACAAGATAAAAAGAAAAAATGTAGAAAAATAAGATTTTATTGTTGTTATTTTTATTTTTCATATGTGAGTTATTTTTTATTTATTTAATAATTTATTAAATCTTTTTCTTTTGTGATTTACGCAAAAAGTAAATTATTATTGTGTTTTAACTTCTGAATATTTTAATAATAAATGTCTTACACCATGAAAAATAGTTAATTTGATGAGTTCAACTAGGGATAGTAAGTTTTAGGGTTCTACTATTTAATTCCCCTCGAAATCATGATAAATATGTTCCAATAAATTATTTTACTGTCACTCTAAAAAAATTACAAGAATAAATGTAGTCATACATTTCCTTGAAAGAATCATAGTGAGCAAGTTTAAGGCCATTATGACTTTGAATGAAATGGTTATTAAGAGTACTTCACAAATTTAGTCTTCAAAATTATAATAATATATGAAATTGATGTTTAAAATAAAATAATATTTAATCCTTGAAAATACATATTAACAGACCACCAATTTAAAATTTAGTGTATATTATTAATCAATTCAAAATATATGAAATTGTAATAAACAGTTAAATTACTCTCTGGAATAGTTAAAATAACAAAGTAATCTTTAAATTATAAAATATTAATCAATTTAGTTATCAAAGTTATAATAATAAGAAAATTTAATTTCTAATTATACATGTTTAATTACAATTTTTATCTTTAAATCATGTTTGTACTTGACTAGTAAATTATAAATGATCAAATGTACCTAGGTATTCATGACTAGAAATCAATTTATTTATCTTACAATTTTAAGGATTAAATTGGTTGAAAACTTATAATTTGAAGAAGAAATTTATTTATTTTAATTATTAATTTGATTTTATTATAATCTTAATAGCAAAATGAATTGATGTTTTTTAAATAATATTTTATCATTTTATTAATTTTAATAATGAATATGACTAAATATTAAAATTGTTAAGAAATAATTTGAGTTTATATAATAAAGTTGCACACCTAATAGGGTGGGATCATTAAAAATAGGAGTCCAGCTATCACTTACGTGTGTCCTTCATTTCCTGCCATGTTATCATAAATATCTTACTGCCTTTTGTTTTTGGTTTGTTTGGTATAGTCAACAAATACAATTTATTTTTGGTATAATATTTTCTAGTAAAAATAAAAATAACAACAATATATTATACGGTATCTTATCTAAAAACAAGAGAGAATAATAATTAATTTGTATTTGTAAAACTAAATTTTTCAATATTTTAGTATTCAGAAAAATTGCAATTCATAATATTTATTATTTATAGTGATTTAAATAGGTAAAAATATTTTGAGAAAATAATTTCAAAAATCTTATAAAAAGGAGATTTTTTGATAATGTCTTAAATTTGGGCATAAAGGAAATGAGTGGTATCCTAAAATTGCGAAATGTGATGATGATACCACACTCTTTTTGTGTTAACTTAAATAATAATAATATTTAAAAGTACGCCACCAAGTATGAAGCAGACTTTATTTATGTGTATAACATTGCTAAAATGACCCAATTAAAGAGAATGATAAGAACGTGTTATGGTTTGAAGTTATGATATTAATATTTAGCTAGAAGCAAAATGATAAAGAAGAGAGAAAAGAAAGAGATGAAGCAAGCAAATTGTGAAAGCGTTGACCTGAGGGTGGAATGGGGGTATATGCCAGATACCTGCCTTGATTCTGCATTTGTTGAAGCCATTCCTCAGTATGAGTGTGATGACAGCTTTGCACTATATATTTATATATATAGCAACAACTTCTAATCCTCACTCTTAACCTCTTCATTCAAAACACAACACTCTCTCCTTCTTCGACCTAACCCTGGTAGCAACCGGTGTCTCCTCTCTTTTGTTTGCAGGTGAGACCTTTTTTTCTTCATGGAAACCTGTCTTGTAAGTGGAATTGACGCACTTCTAGTTCTAGCCTGTGGGAGAGTTCCTCGTAGTGGGAGGCCCACTTTTCTACGCACACACAATAACACAACTTCACTTTCTCCATTTTATATAATTTAACTAATCATTATCTTCCACCACTAAATTCTGGAACCTCTTTTTCCAGCTTTCCAATTTCGCGATTCTTCTCCCCATCATCACCACTGACCCACTTATTTTTCAAAAGAGTGGCGCTCCTTCAGTTATCCTTACCCAATAACTGAAACACAAAAGAAAATACCTTTTAGCCTTATCCGTTTTCTTAACTCCCTTTTTTTTTTTCTGGGATTTTGTACTCATTTTCCTTGCAACAACACCAACCTCGTACCCCCAAACAAAAACGGAACCTTCTCGGCCCAGTTAATTCTTCAGGAAGTTATTAGCACAAAAACAAAGATAACAAACCCTCCTCCTCTGCCTTCTTTTTTCAATTAATTTAATTTTAATAATTTTGGGTGATAAAATCCTTTCCAGTGCCTATGCTTCTTTTGTCTTTACCAATTATGAGTTTTTTTTTCTGGTTTCCTCGTGCTACACATGGTCTGCTACTGACTTGCTTCATCACCATATTCTCTGCGTGCAATTTATTTTCCGCACTCTTTTTTCCTCCATGTCTCTGTTCTTTAGTTTGGTAGGGACGCGAGAAAAGAATAGTACCAATTTACCTATGAATTTTCAATTTCTGAACCAAATTTTCTTTGTCATGGTATATACTGAAGTTGACTCGTTGGTTCAACCGTTCATGCGGTTATGCCACATCTAAGCAATTTAGTGGAGGTAGTTGAAATCTTACGTGAAGTAAGAATAGACCTTCTTGTATAAAATTTTCACATGATTTTGATACTGTTAATCTTTCTTTTCATACATAAGATCTTATCTATTTAATATTAAACACAATTTTATATGATAAGGTTACGTGAAAGTATCTATGACGTGAGAAGCTTTCTGGAGCTGAATAATGGAGTCGTTGATAATTTACAGTCAAATTCGTTGATAATAAAATAGTTTTAAACTTGGGACTTTTCAACTTTGGTGGCTGTTGACTATGGATATAGTATAAAAATATCAAAGGTTTTTTTGTTTTATCATCAATCATTGCATCAGTCTGAGAAAGATGAACAGCTGTACTTTATTTTTTCAAACTATTGAAATTATTAATTTCTTAAAAAAGTCTACTACACTTAGTTTGTCGTAGAAAGTGAGGAACTCGTTTATACCATTCCTCGCTATTATTGCAAACACCAGTTTTCTCCATTTTTTGTTTAGTCCTGGAAAATAGTATTAATAAAGGGAAGAAGAACATGGAGTTGCATGCCTATAGTTGTGTTAGGCACATATAGAAACCATTATCTTTTTATCTTGTGCTGGAAATTTCTAATCAGTGCTTGGGGTACATCAGGTAGCAGAGTTAGAAAGTGATGGCTGGAAGAGAATTAGGAGTGCTTAATGCACTCGATGTGGCAAAGACGCAATGGTACCACTTCACTGCTATTGTGATTGCTGGAATGGGATTCTTTACTGATGCCTATGATCTCTTCTGTATTTCCCTTGTCACCAAGTTGCTGGGGCGGATATATTACACAGACATAACCAAACCAAAGCCTGGTGTTCTTCCTCCTAATGTGCAAGCTGCTGTGACTGGCGTTGCGCTATGTGGCACTTTGGCCGGCCAGCTTTTCTTTGGATGGCTTGGTGACAAGTTGGGAAGGAAAAAGGTTTATGGCTTAACTCTTATGCTCATGGTAGTGTGTTCTATTGCCTCGGGGCTCTCTTTTGGAGATACCCCAAAGGGTGTCATTGCCACACTTTGCTTCTTCAGGTTCTGGCTTGGCTTTGGGATTGGTGGTGACTACCCTCTATCAGCTACAATCATGTCTGAATATGCCAACAAAAAGACTCGAGGGGCATTCATTGCTGCAGTGTTTGCCATGCAGGGATTTGGAATCTTGGCTGGTGGAATAGTTGCCTTGATTGTGTCATCTGCATATGATCACAAATACAATCTTCCCAGTTACGAAGAAAACCGAGAAGGATCAATAGTGCATTCCCTTGATTATGTTTGGCGTATCATTTTGATGTTTGGTGCTGTCCCAGCTGCGCTTACCTACTACTGGCGTATGAAAATGCCAGAGACAGCTCGTTACACAGCCCTTGTGGCCAGGAATGCAAAACAAGCTGCTTCAGACATGTCTAAGGTGTTACAAGTCGAGATTGAAGCTGAAGAGGATAAGTTGCACCACATGGTTGAGAGTGAAAACCAAAGGTATGGTTTGTTCAGCAAGGAATTTGCCAAACGCCATGGGTTGCACTTAGTTGGAACCACAGTAACTTGGTTTTTGTTAGACATTGCCTTCTACAGCCAGAACCTTTTCCAAAAGGATATTTTCACTGCCATTGGATGGATCCCTCCTTCACAAGAAATGAGTGCAATCCATGAAGTTTATAGGATTGCAAGAGCCCAAACACTTATAGCACTTTGCAGCACTGTGCCGGGGTACTGGTTCACCGTGGCCTTTATTGATTACCTGGGCCGTTTTACCATCCAAGTAATGGGTTTCTTCTTCATGACTGTCTTCATGTTTGCCCTTGCTATACCTTACAATCACTGGACCAAGAAAGAAAACAGAATTGGGTTTGTTGTGATGTACTCTTTCACCTTTTTCTTCTCCAATTTTGGTCCAAATGCCACTACGTTTGTTGTACCAGCAGAGATTTTCCCGGCAAGGTTAAGATCTACTTGCCATGGAATATCAGCTGCTGCAGGAAAGGCAGGAGCCATTGTGGGTGCATTTGGGTTCTTGTATGCTGCACAAAGTAAGGACCCCAGCAAGGTTGATCAAGGTTATCCAACTGGAATTGGGGTTAAGAACTCCCTCCTTGTGCTTGGTGTGATAAACTTTTTTGGAATTTTATTCACCTTGTTAGTACCAGAATCAAAGGGAAAATCACTGGAAGAGTTGAGTGGGGAGAATGATGAAGATGGCCCTGAGACAATAGAGGTGGCAGGGTCTGCTAGGACGGTTCCCGTCTAATAGAAGCCTCTGATTAATAAAGTAGTTGAAAATTTCAAGTAATGCCATTGTTGTGTGACAATTTTAGTTGGGGTTTTCTACTGCCAGATGCACTATTTGATGTAGATATACGTTTCTCGGTGTTGTTAGTTTAAATCAATAACTTGGTGTGTGTATTTCATTCTTGTTTTTGATTGAAAGTGGTGTTTAATAATAATGTGTATTTCATATCTGTAGCCAAAGGTATTGAAGAAAATTTTTGTCCTAAGTTCCTTTGTTTTATTTCTCCTTAGCTATGTATGCATAGTTTGACTCTGGAGCAAATTCTATAATCTAATTCAGTTATAAAGGTTTTCTTTTTCTTGAACCTAGCTAGACCCAAATTTTCTAGATCTTTCTCTCATTGATATATATATTGTATATATATATATAGGTTTTGTTGGCAAATTTTGGGTAATGTATATATATGATACATATATTAAACTAAATAATAAAGTGATCTGACTAAATTAAAGTTTTTGGCTAAAGACATATGTCATGAAAATAAAATTGTGTAGAGACCATAGAGTAATTTCTAATTTGATGAGAGACCAAATTGGAAATACTAAAACTTAAGTAATTAACCTAATTCTGGTTATTTAAAGGGTCATGGTCCCCTTCTGGGAGCACACACAGAACGTAAGTATCAGTCCCGTTCCTTTTTTTCTATCCTCATCAAGAGAGAAAATCAAGAGGGAAATACAGGTGCTCTTCAGGTGGAAGACCATAATAAAAAAATCAATATAGTGCTCTACAAAGACATTATCATTATGACTAATTCAGGTACGCTTTCGCATTCAGTTTACAACATGTTTATCAGTATGAGATTACGTTTATGTTTGATCATTAGAATCAAAATCATGATTATTATTATTAGTTTTCCAACAATTGGTATCAGAGCTACCCATACTTGATTCATGTCTGTTTAATTTATAGAATTCTAATTATGAAAATTAAGATTAATTTTTTTTAAACAATTCAAATTACCCAATTTTATGAACCCTAAATGGAGAATAATCTCCAATTTTTGTGAATCATAAAATTTAAATTTGGGGGTAACTTCCTCAATCTACTTCTACTCACTGATGGAACTGTGGAGGAAACTATGGATTCTTCTTCTTCGTTTTTCCCTTTTATTTTGGTTTAAGTTTCAAGTTTTACTGAGAAAGAAATAGTGTTTCAAATTTCAATATTTCTTGTATTGGGTTCTTTGTTATTTTTGAATCTTTTGTTTTTTATTTATTTATTTTTTTTGGGTTTTGTTTTCGCTTTCTTTTCATAGTGGATATGGATGAGTTTGGAATTGGCACTGCACAAAAAATCCTATTATCTACAAAATATTACCTACGGATAAAAATCCGTAGGTAAATTTTACATTACCTACGGATATTACCCATGGATAAAAATCCGTAGGTAAATTGTACATTACCTACGGATATTACCTACGAAATTCTATCTGTGGGTAATTATCCATTACCTACGGATATCCGTAGGTAATGTCATCCGTGGGTAATTTCGTAGGTAATTACCTACGGAATTACTATCCGTAGGTAAATTATATTTAATTATATGTAAGTTATCCATTACCTACGGATATTATCCGTAGGTAATGTCATACGTGGGTAATTTCGTAGGTAATTACCTACGGAATTACTATCTGTGGTGTTTGGGGAGTTCCCAACATAGAAGATCTTAGGTAACTGGTGAATGTTTCCACATGTATGACTGTTATTATTTTATTGTCTTTATCCTCTGGGGATTTTAAGGAAAGTTGATGTTAAATTCCCTATTTAGGGTTTGAGTGATTACTATTTAATCCCCTTTTAGGGTTTAGAGCAGTGTGTTAAAGAGACTCATAACTATCTCTGTTTCATCCCTAGTGTGATTTTAGGGAGATGTTCATCCTTTATCTGTTGGTGGAAAATGAGGTGCTTTTCATTCTTTGATTTGTTCAAAGGAAGTGTTCATCCCTAATGGGATTTTAGGGAGGTGTTCATCCTTAGTGGAATTCTAATGAGATGATTATCTTTTGAATTAGGTTGCAAATATTAAATATTTGGTTTTGTTATATAAATAAAATATTCAATTTTTTGGTAGTTTAATATTTTTTGTGAGCAAATTGAGTCAAGAAGTCACCAAAGTAACCTCTCTTGAATTGGGCAGTTCATGAAAAATATTAAATGTTAGTGTTTGTGTATATGCATGCAAGTATTAGTCGGCCCAAAGGAAGATTAATATTTGGCCGAATTGCATACACACTTGTAATGATAAACATGTGATAATTATAAGGATTTGCTTTGTCGATGATAAATCAATCCAAAGACTGGTTTGTTGTTGGACATATTTTATTGTCAATGTTTGATTATTACAACAAGATACCTCTAGCAGTTAATATTACTGTCCAAAGACTTGATATTGATGGTGCATTGGGTGTCTTGAGATCGGTTAAACTATTATTTGAATATTTATAATTAATTATTTTTTATAATGTGAGCATAATTAGTTTATTTCTCGTGTTTTAAATTCAACTATAATTGCTTTTGTATCTACCAATTTAAATTTTGTTCAAATCCTCAAAAGTATGTTTCCTACTTTGATCTGTTCTGAAGTCAATTTAGCGTCAGTACCTAGTAACACTTGGTGGTTAGACTCAGGTACAACTACTAACATCAGTGATTCTATGAAGGGTTGCATAAACTACCGAAAACCAATTGATTCTGAAAGATGGATATATGTTGGAGATGGAAAATCGGTAGAGGTGGAAGCTATAGGGCATTTTAAATTGTTATTGAGTACTAGTTTTTATTTGGATTTGAAATATATTTTTGTTGTACCGTCATTTAGACGAAATTTGGTTTCAATTTCTTATTTGGACAAATTAGGTTATTTGTGTTCATTTGGAAACAATAAGTTCAGTTTGTCTTTTAATTCAGTTACTATTGGAACTGGTTCACTTTTGCCTTATGATAATCTGTATTTACTTGATACTGTGACCACCTATAATGAAACCTTTAATACAAAATCATGTGGTACTAAACGTAAAATTGAAAATACTCACTCAGGTGCATTATGACATAAGTGCTCAGGTCACAATCGAATCGTGGCGCTTGAGCTTGTGTTACACTCTTAAAGATATGATAAGGAGTATTATTTGTCATTCCACCTTACTGGAATCACTATGGGAAGAGGTACTAAAAAGGACAACTTATATTTTAAATAGAGTACCAATTAAAGCAGCTACCAAAATACCTTATGAACTTTGAAATGAGCAACAGCCTAATATGAAGCATTTCCATGTGTGGGGTTGTCCAACTGAGGCAAGGCCTTATAAGCCAAATGAAAAGAAATTGGACTCCTAAACAGTGAGTAATTATTTTATTGGTTATGCTGAAAGATCCAGGGGATATAAATTTTATAATCCCACATTAAAGACAATTTTTGAGACGGAAACTGCTACGTTCTTTGAAGATATTGAGTTTGGGGGGAATAATAAGATTAAGAACTTTATCTTGGAGGAAGAATCGGTAACAATTTCAGAACCGATTCAAATAGTTACTTTTGATAAAGTAAGTTCAGAACCTCCACAAGGCATTTATGATGAACCCTTTACTCAAGATGATTTGGTTGTTCATGAAGAAAAAACTCAAAATCCTCAAGAACCGGTGCATCATAAGCCAATAACTTTGCGAAGATCCACTAGAGAAAGAAGAAGTGCTATTTCGGATGATTACATGGTATTCCTTCAGGAACATGAGGAAAACAATGATATAATGGAAGATGACCCAATTAACTTCCGTCAAGCTATGCAAGGTTATAACTCTCAAAAGTGGATTGAAGCAATGAAGGAGGAGTATAAGTACATGCAAGGCAATAAGGTTTGGGAACTTGTCCCATTACTAGAAGGTATGAAACCCATTGGTTGCAAGTGGATGTTTAAGAGCAAACATGATTCTAAAGGTAATGTGGAAAGGTATAAGGCTCGTCTGGTAGCTAAGGGCTATACCCAAAAGGAAGGAATTGACTTTAAAGAAACTTTCTCTCCAGTTTCATCGAAAGACTCTTTTAGGACAATCATGGCTCTTGTAGCACATTATGATTTGAAGCTTCATCAAATGGATGTCAAGATGACGTTTCTCAATGGCAACATTGATGAGACGATTTATAGGGTACAACCAGAAAATTTTATGCAGAGAGATTCAAAGAATATGTTTTGCAAACTGACAAAATCCATTTATGGACTAAAACAAACATCTCGTCAATGGTACTACAAATTTTATCAAGTAATTCTCTCATTTGGCTTTGAGATGAATATTGTTGATGATTGTGTATATCACAAGTTTAAGGGGAGTAAATATATTTTCCTGATCTTGTATGTTGATGACATTCTACTTGCCACTAATGATATAGACATATTGCACGAAACTAATAAATTTTTATCAAAGAATTTCGAAATGAAAGATCTTGGTATGCGTCTTTTGTATTAGGCATTCAGATACTCCGAGATTGATGTCTGGGTATTTTAGGATTATCACAAAGGAACTATATCGAAAAAAAAAATCTTAAAAGGTTTGACATGCATGAATGTAAATCCGGGGATACTCCAGTTGCTAAGGGAGACAAGTTTAGTCTCAATCGGTACCAAAAGGGGAATTTGGAAATTGAGGAAATGCAAAAGATTCCTTATGCATCAGTTGTAGGGAGTTTGATCTATGCCCAATTATGTACGCATCCAGACATAACATACATAATTGAGGTTCTAGGCAGATATTTAAGCAATCCAAGAATTGACCATTGGAAAGCAGCAAAAAGGGTCATAAGATATTCAAAGAGAACAAAAGATTATATGCTCACATACAGGAGGTCAAACCAGTTGGAGATCGCTGGATTTTCTGACTTAGACTTTGCAGGATGTCAAGATAGTTTGAAATCTACTTTAGGTTACATTTTCATGTTGGCAGGTGGTGCGGTTTCTTGGCGCAGTGTCAAGCGAACCCTTACAGTCTCATCCACTATAGCAGCAAAATTTGTAACATGCTATGAGACATCAAATCATAGAATATGGCTGAGAAATTTTGTCACAGGGCTGCAAATTGTGAAAGGCATTGAAAGACCACTTAAGTTATATTGTGATAACAAATCAGCTGTATTGTTAAGGAAAGAGTACAAAGTGGACAGATTTCCATAGAACACTTAAGGACAAACTCCATGATAGCATATCCTCTAACTAAAGGACTTCCGCCCAAGGTCTTTCATGAGCATGTTGCTCATATGGGTGTTTTACAGTTTGAGGAATTTGTGGTTTAGTGGGAGTTAGTCACTTTCATATATTTTATGTTTTATGTTTAATTTCGTATATGTATACATTGATTTTTTGGACATATTTGGTTATCTATAAATATGCGTTTTTTTTTCATTCATTACACTTTGTACATTAAGGATATTATATCGATCTCGATAAGTTAAAGTTTGGACCAATTTAAAATAGACGTGTACAGATCACCTTCATGTAATTTTTCATGCTACACATTTCATGATGAATCCATGTCATTTGGTTATGTCAGGATTAATAATCATTATTGGTTTTAGTTGCGATTATGCAATGAAAAGCTGATTTGATTCTATATCCTGATATGATCAAAAGACAGGATTTTTGGAATATGCTAAAGGAATATAATGACAATTTTGAACTCATAAAGTCTAACACATTTGTAAGGTTGTAAGAACATATATATTTGTGACCAGTGGGAGATTGTTGGCAAATTTTGGGTCATGTATATATATGATACATAATTTAAATGTGTTAGGACTATTATTTATTAAGTCAAATAATAAAGTGATCTGACTAAATTAAAGTTTTGGCTAAAGACATATGTCATGAAAATAAAATTGTGTAGAGAACATAGAGTAATTTCTAATTTGATGAGGGAACAAATTGGAAATACTAAAACTTAAGTAATTAACCTAATTCTGGTTATTTAAAGGGTCATGATCCCCTTTTGGGAGCACACACAGAACGTAAGTATCAGTCTCGTTCCTTTCTTTCTATCCCCATCAAGAGAGAAAATCAAGAGGGAAATACATGTGCTCTTCAGATGGAAGACCATAAGATCAATATAGTGCTCTACAAAGATATCATTATTATGGCTAATTCAGGTACGCTTTCACATTCAGTTTACAATATGCTTATCAATGTGAGATTACATTTATGTTTGATCATTATAATCAAAATCAGGATTATTATTATTATTATTATTATTATTATTATTATTATTAGTTTTCCAACAGGTTTATGATAAAAAAAAAAGAGAAAGAAAAAATAAAAAAAATCAAAGATTACCTTAAACTTTGAATCTTTATAAATATACACTCTTAACTTTCGTATCCTTTTAAAGAATCCTTCAACTCTTACTATACTTACATTACATCCTTGTGCACTATTTTTTTTTTTTTCACTATTCAATCTCTTTTAGCCTTAAACACTTTTATTTTCTTTTATTTTATTCGAAACATATATATTCAATAACTATTAAAAAAATCTTGAATTTTGATCCAACTAAAATTATCTTTTTAATATCAAATTTTGTTATTATTTTATTTTTGTTCTTTCAATATATATTTCAAATTTTATAATATATATTTGATTCCTTTTAAATTAGTTTTTTGAAAAATTATTTAATATATAAATACAAGAAGTAATCTATTTATTATAATAAGTAAAATGAAAAAAAAATTATATTTCCAATTTTATATATTTGAAATAGCTACGAAATTTATGAAAATATTTCAATTACATTACATATATTATTATGAACAAACAATAATACCCGCCTGGGACTGTTCAATAAAATTTGAAAAAAAAATGGTGCTTGATATAATTGAATTCAATAAAAAAAACTAATAATTTAAAAATATTTAACTGAATTATTGTTTTAATTTAGTTTTTAAAATTTGAATTATTCTTAAATAGAATTAATTAAAATTATTTTAATTATAATTTATAAAATTAGAAAATGTAGTTTAACATGAAATGTTTAAGGGCAATACTTTAAATAATTTAGTTTTAAAAATAATTTATAGTGATTCAATTTGGTTTATTTCATTGAATTTATCTAAATTACTATGAATTTCAATCTAAGTTTATCAGGTAACTTTTAGGGTGAAATTCATTTTTATTATAGTTCAATTACTTAGCAAAATGTCCTTGTAGAACTAGGCATGTTAACTTAATTAGGATTTATTTAGATGATTTTTTGAAAGGAATTTTAGAAAGAAAAAAAAACTAAAATTAACTATTTCATAAGTTAAAATCAGATTATATGTAACTTTTTTTTTTTTTTTATGAAAAGTAGAAAAACTTAATCCGAACAAAACATGGCTTATTCTGAGGCCAAATTTGAATTTGATTTGTTTTTTCCTTATTTCTTTTCATAAAAATGAATAACAAAAGTAAAACAATAATAGAAATAAACTAAAAACTCATAAATAATTAAACTTTGAAGGAACACATGTTATAATTTGAAATTTCTCATCTGAACTAAAAAAAATATTTAACCACTTTCTATTTCTATGCATTATATGTGCTTAAGATTTTATTTTTTTTTAGATTAAGGAGGATATAAACTTTCTATTAAATGATTAAAAAAATATTGTAATAATGATTTTTTTAAAATAAGACAATAAAATGATATTACTAACATTTTAAAACTAATACATATGCAAAACAGTGCCTCTTTTATTATCTGTTTCTCGTATACATTCTATGACTTATAACAATGGATGTCGGAGAAAATTGGGTTAAAATGGAAGGAGTTGCTCCAAGCGTAGCGGAAGTTGACGGTTGCATCAGAAGTGATTGGTAGAGCATTGTTAAGATCGCAAACATCACCGGACACTCTCAAAATTGAAGGCTCTACCTTTTCCACGGTTTGAAATCCACTGCAGTTTAGCTTCACATTGCTTTGAACGCACAATTCATTGCATTTATTGAAGATGCTCACAGAATACTCATGGTAGCCCTTAAGCGATTTCCCTGTACCGTATTGACGCACTTGAAGATTTCTCAGAGTGCATTCTCCATACGCACCTACAAATGCAGAATTAATATCGTATCATTCTTAATTTGAATCCTTTGTTCCAAAATAAAATTACCTCTTGCAATGACGAGAAATATGGCCAGCGATTTAAGTATGGCAGCCATTACTATCGACACAAATACTGACTTCTCCAAACTGTTTTAGGGTTCGTGCCGTGCTGGTGTATGAGAGGCATATTCAGTTATTTATAAGACCTGAAGACTTATCATCAATCATGGAATGACTATCAAATATCTTAAAATTCAATACATCAAATCTTTAAATTAATGATGAATAAACAACAATATTGAAAAAGAATCCCAAGATAATAATAATATTTTAAAATATGATGATTGAAATCTTTTAAAAAAACATGTTTTTTCAGTAAATCTTTTAAAAAACTATCCTTACTCAATATTTGAATGTTATGTTTTAAATTAGATTTTTCATTTTCATGTGGTAAAAAAGTAAGATGATCGGTTCTTGATCCATACCTAGTTTTATTTACTCTATTTATACTTTTAGGTTGGTTTTGTGAGATTGATTATCATTTGATTAGTGTTAATTATAGATTAACGAGTGTGATTTTTGAAGATATATTCAAAGTGAGATATACTCGACGGAATTTTAGGGAGTAAATTATTCTGTATACTACATAGTCTCTCAGCCTCAAGTGTTAAATGTCAAATCTAATTATTGGGTCAGGATCTGAAATCTTATTATTATATTCATCGTGTTTGTTGGTCTAACCCATAAGATCGATCAAGTGACGAGACTAATTATTTGGACACTATAGAATTTTAAGTCCAACCCATAAGGTTGGTCAAGTGACGAGATTAATTATTTGGACACTACACAAACTCCAACCTCAAGTATTAAATGTCGAGACTTGAGAAAGTTGTGTCTACACGTCAGTATTTCATCAATGCAAGTAAATCAATTAACGTATAGGTTGGTTTACGACTTGTGACCTTAAGTGTCACCTTGTGACCTTATAGGATCCGACCTCATAAGATCAATATGTAAGCCGACCTCATAGGACCGTATTGTACACTTACCTCATAGGATCACATCCATTGAAGAATTTCCTAACCTCTTAGGGTTGCAGTCGTTGTAGAATCTCCCGACCTCATAAGGTCGCTGCCGTTGTAGAGCAGCACGACCTCATAGGGTCGCAGTCGTTGTAAAATATTCCGACCTCGTAGGGTCGCAACCATTGTAAAATAGCACAACCTCATAGGGTCGAGTCCGTTTTATCAAAATTCGACCTGATAAGGTTGTAGAACAACACGTCCACATAGTCTCGCGTCTGTTTTGTCGAAATCTGACCTGATAAGGTTGCGACTGTTGTAGAATAACATGCTCATATAGGATCGTGTTCATTTTGTTGAAATCCGATCTCATAAGGTCACAAGCATTATAGAACAGAATGCCCATATAGGGTCGCGTCTGTTTTGTCAAAATTCAACCTGATAAGATCATTGTGTAGAATAGACCAACCTAAGGACGAACTTCTCAAATCTTTGAGAGGCGTTCTCCTTCGGGGTAGACGTAAATCTGATACACTCTTTATTTGACAATGCCTTATGTATGAGGTGATTGTGGTTTGTTAGCTTACCAATGTTCATAGCAGAATGATCAATCACTATAAAGTAAGTTAGACTTTTATAATAATAACAATATTATTATTATTGATATTATTATTATTATGACGATCTTCTAGAAAGTGGAGATATGTCATGTTCACACATCCTTCCATGTTCAATACCATCAGAGTGGAATCAGATTTCAACAACGAGATTAAGTTCGATCTCAACTCATTCTTCAGAACAAAACAATTCTACTACTGGTTCGACTGTGTCTAGAAACTAAGTTTCCTCCTCATGCTATTTTTGCAGTTGTTCCATCATCGTCATCACACGTTGTATCATGACATGATCATCTCTCACATGTTAAGAATTTGCTTGCTTAATGCACACAACCATTGTATGGAAGTGGGAAAAGAAATTTTTTGTGTTTCGATTCCCCTAGACGACACTAATGGTGTGGTAAGAGATAATTGTTTCCCGACCTGGACCTAATTTTAATTATTTTCTTTGAGTCTTTTGAGCCGTTTTTATAGGATCGATTATTATTTGATTAACGTTAATTATGAGTCAATTGGCTTGATTCCTGAAGATATATCCATGACGAAATATAATCGACAAAAATCTAAAAAATAAATAATTACTACACATTTGAATTTCATAATTACAAGGAAAAATAGATATATATCATATTTTAAAACATTATTATTATAATCCTATCTTTATTGTCTCACGATAATCAATGAATTATAATTATAATGAAACAATTAAACATAATTATTAGAAAAAAATAAGCCTTACACTACAAAAAAAAAGCCTATTACCTACGGAATATTACCTATGGATACAAATTACCCACGGATAAAAATCCGTAGGTAAATTTTACATTACCTACGGATTTTACCCACGGATGAAAATCCGTAGGTAAATTGTACATTACCTACGGATATTACCTACGGAATTCTATCTGTAGGTAATTATCCATTACCTACGGATATTACCTACGGACATTACCCACGGATGAAAATCCGTAGGTAAATTGTACATTACCTACGGAATTCTATCCGTAGGTAATTATCCATTACCTACGGATATTATCCGTAGGTAATGTAATCCGTGGATAATTCCGTAGATAAAGTGTACATTACCTACGGAATTTTATCCGTGAGTAATTATCCATTACCTACGGATATTATCCGTAGGTAATATCATCCGTGGGTAATTCAGTAGGTAATTACCTACGAATTACTATCCGTAGATAAATTATATTAAACTAAAAGAATTGTCACTAGCAAGAATCGAACCCAGTACCTTAAAGTTGAAAATTGAACCACTAAACTATTAGGATATTCTTATAATAATTTACAACTAAATTATACTTATATTAATTCGTGTAAATATATAAATATATAAATATATAAATATATAAATATACAAATATACAAATATATAAATACATAAATACATAAATACATAAATACATAAATACATAAATACATAAATACATAAATACATAAATACATAAATATATAAATACATAAATACATAAATATTTAAATATTTAAATATTTAAATATTTAAATATATAAATATATAAATATATAAATATTTAAATATATAAATATTTAAATATATAAATATTTAAATATATAAATATTTAAATATATAAATATTTAAATATATAAATATTTAAATATATAAATATTTAAATATATAAATATTTAAATATATAAATATATAAATATATAAATATTTAAATATTTAAATATATAAATATTTAAATACATAAATATATAAATACATAAATACATAAATACATAAATACATAATACATAAATACATAAATACATAAATATATAAATACATAAATACATAAATACATAAATACATAAATATATAAATACATAAATATATAAATACATAAATACATAAATACATAAATACATAAATATATAAATACATAAATATATAAATATATAAATATATAAATATATAAATATATAAATACAAATATATAAATGTATAAATATATAAATATAAATATATAAATACAAATATATAAATGTATAAATATATAAATATATCAAAATATAAATATATTTTATATTTATATATTTTATATTTATATATTTTATATTTATATTTATATATATTTTATATTTATATATATTTTTTATATTTATATATATTTATATATATTTTATATTTATATATTTTATATTTATATATTTTATATTTATATTTATATATATTTTATATTTATATATATTTTTTATATTTATATATATTTATATATATTTTTTATATTTATATATTTTATATTTATATATTTTATATTTATATATTTTATATTTATATATTTACACGGATAAATATAAATATAATTTATTTGTAAATTATTTTCAAAATAACCTAATAGCTTAGTGGTTGGAGTATCAGCCTCCAACTCGAGTGCTTGGGTTCGAATCCTGCCAATGACAATTCCCTTAATCTAATAATAATTCAAAGTTTCGAAAATATAATAAATAATAAAAATATAATATAAAGGGGAGGGGGTTCTAGGGAATAATAAAAAATAAGGGAGGGGTTGTAATAAATAAAAATATTTTATTAAGGTGAGTGCATTACCTACAGATTATAAATCCGTAGGTAATTACCTACGACCAAATTACCTACGGATTTTCTACGGAAAGAAATCCGTAGGTAAAGTGACATTACCTACGGATTTTTATCATTACCTACGGATTTTACCCGTAGATAATAAGCGTTTTTTTTTGTAGTGTTATAATGCAAATCAAACCATAAAAGAAATCCAAATTAAAAATAAAAAATCAATTGATGTAAGTGAATATTAAATATCAAATACAAGTGAGATGAAATTATTTAGAGTCCTAAAACTGGTTGGTAGTAAAATGTGATACACTCAAACAGAGACATTAATTATCCATATGCATCTTTTTCCCTGTTGTCACAATAGTCACCATATTATTAATATATATTTTCTTTTGTCTCTTTCTTAATTGGGAGGTATAACAATTAACATCAACAATATATTTTTATGTAGTAAATTAAAAATCTACGTTATAACTCTTTTTGGTTTTTTGTTTTACTAGGATAAGTATATAAACTTTTAAAAAATTTGTACGGCTTATGCAAAGAAAGAGAGAGTGACTTGCAAAGTTATCATAACTTCTTATTAACACCGGATATGTTCAATTTATACACACGATTAAATCTTATTATAACTCATGCTTTCTATATGATATTATGTTACGCAGAAATGATAATCAATGAATACCATGTATCAAATAGATTTTTTATGCTTCCTTTTATATAAAGATTTAGAAAATTGAAATATTTTCTTGGTTTTAAAGTAATAAGAAATAAATATGTAGTAATAATAAACCAATAAAGGTATGTATTAAAAGTATTAGTTGAAACAAGTCTATCAAACTAGAATCTACTCTGATTGATAATGACAAACAAATGATAATCTTATTATTAAATTTATTAAAAATTTTGATTTAATTTTTTTTTAAATTATGACAGGTAAGTCTACTAACCTGCTATATAATGGACTAGTTCATCCCGTTTCGATTTTGGTGGGCTAAAAATAGGTCAAAAAAGGATTAATTGATTTGTTTTATCATTACTTATGAAATTTAATAATAACTTTATAGTGTAAGATTTTTCCAAATTGCTCCCAGTACATCAGTTCAATTATGTTGAAACTATAAATTTGCTTTTCACATTGTAGTTAACAAGTTACTCCATAAATGTACGAAACACATTAAATTGGATTCTCATATTGTAAGAAAAATAGATACATGTGATCCAGAAAACGACTAACAATTTTTTTAATATTTTTTCTATCATGATTTTCTTTTTAATGATTTTGTGGATTCTACTAATATCAATTTTGTTAGTATTAGTTATTCTCATTTAGTATTTATTTAGGAAAGTATGATTGTTTTAGTATTTAGAAACAAAGAGAATTATTGTTATTTTTTTAAATATGATATCAAAATTTATCCTAATTATGTTAAGATTATTGTAGTATCCCTTATTAGATCATTCATATCCAAGTAGGAAATCATTCATTTACTCTGTGAATGGATGAGGATAAGTTAAAATATTATATTAACTAGAAATATAATTAAATTATAATACATACATAAGATATAATTCTCTTTTTACACTATTAAAAATTCTCATATTTCAAGATATTTTTTTTAATTTTTATAAATATTGTAAAAAATAAGTTTTCTATAAATTTAAATTATTTTTTATAAGAAAATTTGTAGGAAATAAATAATTTTTAGTAGTAGTGTTAGACATTTGTAAGGTTAAATTTAATTCATATTCCTTTTTAATTAGTGTTCAAAAGAAAAAAAAAGAAAGAAAGAAAGAAGTGGAACGTGAAAAGCTATCATCCTTTAATAATTATTATAAATATAATGGATAAAAATTCATATTAATGTATTTTCAAATAAATTTTTATCTCTTAATTTTATACTAATAATTGACTACATATTATATATAATAAATCTAATACTAATATAATTAGATGGTTAATTCTTTTATAGTATCTAAATTATTAAAATAATATATTTTGTAAACTTTGTGTTTAAATTAATGTTTCACTTTTACTATTCAAACATAAGGCATATATTTTCTGTATTTCATACTTTCTTTATATATCGTGATATTTATTTTTAAAAATAATAATATCCTTATTAATTTTATGTAACGAGTGATTTAAAAACATATTTTAAATATTTCAGATTGAAAATCTGAAATGTTTTTAGATAAATAAATCTTATAAATAAATACAAAATGAGTAGGGATAAATATAAATCTTATAAACATTTTTATGAACTATTTGTTACATTTTATAAAAATAATCAATAAATACAAAAAAAAAAAATTACAACGTGCATTTCCTCACAGTAGGGATAAATAGTAAAGAGACTTTAGTATAAATACTCATTTAAATTCAAAATGAGTTAATCTTTTCAATATTCTCTAAACATTAAAACTATTTAGTATATATTATTATTAATATATTTAATAACAGAAGTTAGCTTTATATTATATTTAATAAAAAAATTAATTAATTATAAAATATTTTTATCTTAAAATATTCTTTCTAATTGTTTAAATAATTTTGAAAAAAAAATATTGTTAAAGAGAGGTAAGAAAAGAAGTATGTATACGATTATCAACTACATATACCAATGAATAATTTATTTCACAAATAATACACAATTTCACATTACGGAAGAGGCCATGAATTGAAAGAATAATTCGGGCATCATCTCAGAATGATTACAATTTCTCTATTAATGACAAGTTCCAAACTTCGACTGGGGATCACTAGAAAATCTAACCATCATCTATACCCATCTTTAATACTTTCCAATACTCTCCATACAATACATTCAGTTAAATTGTCCCTGAGATCTGTATTGAGAAACTACCCAACATATTTCCCCCCGTAGTATCATAACACCTAAGCAGTGTGCAGCCTAATTTATCTCCTCCCCGACAGCATTGGTTTCTTCTTACTGTTGTCATGTGGCTTTATAGCATCCGCAAATACACCATGATTGAGGCAACTTTTTTCCATTACAGCACCCATTTCTGGCATGGTCTCCCCATTGTCAGTATTGCCACCATTCATTTCTTCTGCGACGTTCTCTGCAGTTTGTGAAACATTTGTAGAATTAACATTAGTTTAATGTGTGGTTTGTCATAACTGGGTCTAGAAGTAGCCTGGTCTTGCACGATATCCACTTGCCGGTCAGCAGTTCCATCATGTGATGACTCAACTGCTACTGTTTGAGCATTTCCATCCTCCGCCGAGTGAGGAACAACTTCACAATTCTCTGTACTCTGTACATCAGTTTCATCGGTCTTGGTCTCAATTGACTCATGAGCATGGTTGTGTGTTTCAATTTCTTCTTCTTGTTGTGCTTGTAATCTGCATTGGTCCATGATATTTTGCATCTTCTCCAGCTCCTCAATTAGACTCCCGTACCTATTTTGCAAAGTTTTCTCAAGTTCCTTTTGCTTCTGTACTTCAGCCCATAGATTGTTTATTCTATTTAATGCTGCTAATTGCTCCTGCTTTTGCAAAACTTTAAAGCATTCTAATTGAGTTGCAGCTATGTCCATCTGCTTGAAAGTGGCCTCAACTTGTGGCCAGAGGCTTTCACCCTCATCTGAAAAAGGTCATTAGCCAAATTATAATATACTCCCGATTCCACTGATTTCCAACTATTTTCAAGTCCCCACTACTGAAAATTAACCCAAGCTAGCTACAAGGCAACACAATTAGCCAAGTAACAGAAATGTAGCAATGCAGCATTCTGAATACAGCATATCAATATCATACCTCATAACCTTGTGTGAGAACCATCACCTTCTTCTCAAACCGTACCATCTTCTCATTACCATCATCCAATTTGTTTCTCATATTCTCAAATTCATTTTGTAAAGCTGCTACCTTTTCCATGTTCCCAGCAACACTAGAAAGACCATACGCATTACCAGTAGGAAAGTACATAAGATCATTGAAACAGGTTCTGTGTGCTTCAATAAATTCGTCAAGAGGTTCATTTTCATGTCCCATTGCCGCACAAACAATGGGCCTCTTTCTTTATCAACTTATCAACCTACGATATACACATAAATCATAAATGTCCTCAGCATTGCTTAAAGGGTCATCTCCAATGACAGCTCAGTATATGAAACAGTTGCTTTATCAAAATTATCAGATTAACGAGGAGCAAAACAAATTAGAAGCTCAGCATATAAAAGCAGTTGCTTTATCATGGAAGGTTAGTCATGGAAGGGGATATTTAATTTTAAAATATCTGCGTCAAAAGGGAGGTATCTCTAAAACAGAAGTCAAGTTACTTGTTTGTGTATAAAAACTCAACTGAAGAAAATGAGAGGTCATCACAAAGAAAAATAAACTAAGAGCACAGAAACATAAATGAAGACATACATCAGTCATTTCCTTATTCACAGGGACAGTAGACCCATTTAGAGCCCGCTTGATTCCATTCTTTTTCTCCTTATTCACTTTATTATCAAGCGGATACTTAGAATTGTCATGCTCCAGTAAAGTTAGAAGGTCCCTTCTAATCATCTCATCAGCTTGCTATTCTATCATACATATCCTCTTCAATTTTCTCCTCAGGCTCTTCGACGTCTTCTGGAACTGGTTCCATCACTATTTGGTACTCATTTTTGGGCTGTGGAAGGCTTCCTAAACCAGATCACAGACTTCTTCATATCAGCCTGTCTCTGTAGCTCAAGTTTAGAGCTGTCATGCATATTCATGTCCTCATTAATATGTAGCTCATCCCTAGGAAGTGTTCCCTTTGGTGTCATGCTTAAAGAAAAACCATCTCTTGCTGGTGTCATGCCAATTCTAGAAGTGAGAACTGCACCTCCAGGAGTTGCAGAAGGAGTCAGCATTGGATTTGGAGTCTGAATATCCTTGTTCTTAAGGGTGACACCCGAAAAATCTGAAGGATGGAACTCTGGGTTCTCTCCACCTAACAATGGATTTGGAGTCTGAATATCCTTTTTCTTAAGGGTGACACCCGAAAAATCTGAAGGATGCAACTCTGGGTTCTCTCCGCCTAACAATGGTGTTTGAGACTCCCTCAACCTGGCCAGATTCTCAGCTTCCATCATAATAGCATCTCCTTTACCAGCTGGTGTGGTGTTCTCTGAGGTGTTCGCAAAGGAGTCACTCCTTTACCAAGTGTCTGTGCATAATTAGCCAGAAGAGCACGTGTTGCACCACTACCTTCAGCAAGTTCCTGACTCCCTGTAAGGTCCCAACTTTGCAATTTCGTTCAATTCCTGATCAGAAATCTGAGGTGATGGAAGCATCAATTTTGACCCCTTTCTTACAGTTTCTGGGTCATTCAACTTGTTGGCATGCAATATGGCAGATTGGCAGATGGGGCATCTTGCCTTTGTGCAATTTTATTTTTTGCAATGTCCTGCTTTCTTAACTGTGCCTCAATATCAACCCTCCTTTTCCCTCCAAGTTCTTCAATTGTAGTAGGGAACTGGGGCTGTTCCACCGGTCTATCTTCATCTGTAAGATCCAAAAACCCTGGAGGAGGCCTTTTCTCAAATGGAATTTCTGCATTATAGTCTATTCCTTTCCTTTTTCTCTTCCGCTGCCTAATATCACTTCCTGCAGCCTTCAATTCTCTCTTCTCTCAAGCCTCCTGGCTTCCTCAAACTGTTTTTGGCTTTCTTTGCTTTGGTGTTGGCTAACCGGGGTCGTGCTTCAGAAAGCATCTCCTTTTCATCTTCATCCATATCAACAGGATCAGGGTGAGCAGGTTTTGACTCAGGGTTTGTATCAATCTCCCCAAGACGCAATTTCCGAGGATCATCACCAGGCTCATAGTTCTCATCTTTCACACAGGCTGCATCAAGGAGCTTCTCATACCGCTCGAGACATTGGGAAGGGATACGACCGACAATTGGAGCAATTGGGCATGAGTTTAGCAGGATGAAGTACCTTTTCGTCCTCTTCTCTTGTCCATTCAGTCTACACACAAAAGGCATCAAATTGAAATCACTCCGTATTAGCAAATAGTTAACAGTAAAATCTATAATGCTGTATGTGGAAAAAATGCAATAATGGCAAATCATTAGGTTGTAGGTTTCACCACATTTAAGAAAGCTTAAGAATAAAAGTAATACAATATCCTAAATATTACAACAATTATTACGAACTACCCATTTTGTACAAAGTCACGAAATACAATATCCTAAATATTAGGACAATTATTACGAACTACCCATCTTGTACAAAGTTACGAAAAGCAAAAACTTGAATTTCAACTATATCGTCGATTAATATATAATACATAACAAAGTAGTAGATTGAGAAGAGAAGTACCTTCTTAATGGACGGATCGAGCCACTCATACCAGCCAGCTTTGCATTGCTTGGTAGATTTGCGAACAAGAAGATATTCGAGCCCACTGGTTCTTACCATATTTCATAACAGCAGCTTTCAGGATCTCATCTTCGGTGTTTAATTCTGCAATCCTTCTGTGCATGAACTTTATTAAACCAACTGCACACTCTCACTCATTATTAAACCAACTGCACACTCTCACTCATGTAATCCATAGGCCTGGCACCCAACACCTAATCAAAATCCTACAAGTTAACCACCATAATAGGTAAACCCTCATCTACCCAAATCATACCAACTAACCAGTTAATCAAAATTTGTAACAAGTCCTATACTGGCTCAAATCATACCAACTAACCAGTTAATCAAAATTTGTAACAAGTCCTATATTGGGAGGTCTCTCTCAGATACCTTAGTGGAAGGTTCTCCATCCTCTTACTAATTTTTGAGGATGGTTACCCTCTTAGTCTTATGGTGTTAGCTTTCATTGAGACCCAGCCAGAGGGCTCTGAGGGTTCTGACCTCGGAGGGATGGTTACCCTCTTGGTCTTAGTCGTACTCAATTTATTCAACATCTTTACTGTTATCCTAAAGTTATGTAATCAATTTATTCAACATCTTTACGGTTGATGCACCTAAGTAACAGCTTAACGAATTAACGAGTTTCATTCAAAGAATATTGAAAGAACAACATGCACTAGAATACTGAAAGACCAACTTTTCAAACTTTGTGTTGTCTCTGCACTAGAATAAATCAGACTTGCAAAACTCACCCGACGAAAATAAATCAGACTTGCAATTAAAATTTGAATAACTATTAGGATTTGAAGAATTGATAGGGTTTTCAAAGAGAATCAATAGAAATCGAAGAGAACATAGGGGTAGGGTTTCAGGGAAAAAATGGAATCCGAAACTCAATATATTGAAATCTGAATGTTTACAAGAGAATTTATTATTCCAAAAAATTACTAACAAAAGAGAAAAATTGCTTATTTATAGAATTCTGTTTCAGCAACAGAACTAACTAACTCAATATCCTTCTAATTAACTATTTTTTCTGTCGGTTAAAACCTCTGGTTCTTCTCCCACCTCCATCACATGGATTTGCAGTTTCTTGTGGGTTAAACCATGGGTATATGTGAAAGGTTCATCACAGAAATCGCATAAGCCTTGGCTCCTTCTTTCAGCCATGTAAGCAGGGGTCAAGATTCTTTTAGGTAGGGTTTTAGGGGTCAAGTTTCTTGTAGGTAGGGTTTTAGGTTGTGAAGGAGAGTTGTTGACTGATTCATACATCTTTGCTAGGGAAAAGGCTTTCATCACAGTCTTAGGTTTGAAGATCCTCACCATCATTTGAACATTCTTCTTCAAGCCACCAAGGAAGCAACTCAATTGGTAAGCCTCTGTCAACTCGAACAACTCGATTCTTGACACGATGGCATCAAACTCAGTGTGGTAATCGGTTACAGAACCTTTCTGCCTCAATTTCATAAGTTCTTTGCAAACTTCATCAAAACGCCAAATCTGCTGTTGCAGAGTAGCGCCTGTTGGAAAATTAATAATAATAATAATAATAATAATAATCCTGATTTTGATTCTAACAATCAAACATAAACATAATCCCATTATGATAAACATGCTTTAAACCGAATGCGAAGCGTACTCGAATTAGCCATAACGATGATGTCTTTGTAGAAGCATTATATTGATCTTATAGTCTTGCACCTGAAGAAGCGCTCGTATTTCCTCTTGATTTTCTCTCTTGATGGGGATAGAGAGAAAGGAACGGGACTATAACTACGTTACATGTCGTGTCTTCTCGAAGGGACCATGACCCTTTAGATAACCGGAATTAGGTTAATTACTTAAGTTTTAGTATTTCCAATTTGGCCCTCATCAAATTAGAAATTGTTCTATGGTCTCTACACAATTTTATTTTCATGACATATGCTTTTAGCCAAAACTTTAATTTAGTCAGATCACTTTATTATTTGGCTTAATAAATAATGACCCTAACACATTTAAATATGTATCATATATATACATGACCTAAAATTTGCCAACAATCTCCCACTCGGTCACAAATATATATGTCTTTACAACCTTACAAATGTGTTAGACTTTATGAGCTCAAAATTGTCATTATATTCCTTTAGCATATTCCAAAAGTCCTCGTCCATTAATCATATCAGGATATAGAACCAAACCAGACTTTTCATTGCATCATCGCAACTAAAACCAACAAGATTACTCATCCTAACATAACCAAATGACATGGATTCATCATGAAATGTGTAGCATGAAAAATTACGTGAAGGTGATCTGTACACGTCTATTTTCAACTGGTCCAAACTTTAACTTATCGAGATCGATACAATAACCTTAATGTACAAAGTGTAATGAATGAACAAGAAAACCGCATATCTATAGATAACCAAATATGTCCAAAAAAACAATGTATACATATATGAAATTAAACATAGAACATAAAATATACAAAAGTGACTAACTCCCACTAAACCACAAATTCCTCAAACTGTAAAACACCTATGTGAGCAAAATGCTCATGAAAGACCTTGGGTGGAAGTCCTTTAGTCAGAGGATCTGGTATCATGGAGTTTGTCCTTAAGTGTTCTATGAAAATCATGTCACTTTGTACTCTTTCCTTAACAATACAGTTGATTTATTGTCACAATATAACTTAAGTGGTCTTTCAATGCCTTTCACAATTTGCAGCCACTGTGACAAAATTTATCGACCATATTCCATGATTTGATACCTCATAGCAAGTTACAAATTCTTGACATCCTACAAAATCCGAGTCAGAAAACCCAGCGATCTCCAACTAGTCTGACCTCCTATATGTGAGCATATAATCTTTTGTTCTCTTTAAATATCTTATGACCCTTTCTTTGCTTTTCAATGGTCTATTCCTGGATTGCTTAAATATCCGCCTAGAACCCCAACTATATATGATATGTCTGGATGCGTACATACTTGGGCATAGATCAAACTCCCTACAACTGATGCATAGGGAATCTTTTGCATTTCCTCAATTTCCAAATTCCCTTTGGGCACTGATTGAGACTAAACTTGTCTCCCTTTAAACTTGTGATACATACAATCATCAACAATATTCATCTTGAAGCCAAATGAGTTTCATTCCTTCTGGTAATGGGACAAGTTCCCAATAACCTTATTGCCTTGCATGGACTTATACTTATCCTATTGCTTCAATCCACTTTTGAGATTTAGAACCTTATATAGCTTGACTGGAAGTTAACTGGGTCATCTTCCATTATATCATTATTTTCCTCATGTTCTCGAAGAAATACCATGTAATCATCCGAAATAGCACTTCTTCTTTCTCTAGTGGATCTCTGCAAAGTTATTAGCTCATGATGCACAGGTTCTTGAGGATCTTGAGTTTGTTCTTCATGAACAACCAAATCATCTTGAGTAAGGGGTTCATCAACAATGTCTTGTGGAGGTTCCGAACTTACTTTATCAAAAGTAACTATTTGAATTGGTTCCGAAATTGTTACCGATTCTTCCTCCAAGATGAAGTTCTTAATCTTATTCTTCCCCCAAACTCAATATCCTCAAAGAACGTAGCAGTTCTCGTCTCAAAAAATTGTCTTTAATGTGGGATCATAATATTTATATCCCCTGGATCTTTCAGACATAACCAATAATATAACCACTTACATGTTGGAGTCCAATTAAACTAATTATGCTCACATTATATAAAAAATAAATAATATATATTCAAATAGTGGTTTAACCCATCTCAAGATACCCAATGCACCATCAATATCAAGTCTTTGGACGAGTAATATTAAGCTGCTAGAGGTATCTTGTTGTAATAATCAAACATTGACAATAAAGCACGTCCAACAACAAACCAGTCTTTGGATTGATTTATCATCGACAAAGCAAATCCTTATAATTATCACATGTTTATCATTACAAGTGTGTATGCAATTCGGCCAAATATTAATCTTCCTTTGGTCGACTAATACTCGCATGAATATACACAAACACTAACATTCAATATTTTTCATGAACTGCCCAATTCAAGAGAAGTTACTTTGGTGACTTCTTGACTCAATTTGCTCACAAAAAATATTAAACTACCAAAAATTGAATATTTTATTTATATAACAAAACCAAATATTTAATATTTGCAAACTAATTCAAAAGAGAATCACCTCATTATAATTCTACTAAGGATGAACACCTCCCTAGAATCTCATTAGGGATGAACACCTCATTTGAACAAATCAAAGGATGAAAAAAAGCCTCATTTTCCACCAATACATAAAGGATGAACATCTTCCTAAAATCACACTAGGGATGAAACAGAGATAGTTACGAGTCTCTTTAGCATATCGCTCTAAACCCTAAAAGGGAATTAAACGAGTAATCACTCGGACCCTAATTTAACATCAAATTTTCTTTAAATTCCTAGGGGATAGAGGCAATAAAATAATAACTGACCAAACATGTGGAAACATTCATCATTTACCTAAGATTCTCTCGTATTGGGAACTCCACAAACACCACCCCCAATTCCAAACCCATAAAGTTAAATAAAAACAAAAGATTCAAAAAAGAACAGAGAACCCAATACAAGAAAAATTGAAATATGAAACACTATTTCTTTCTCAGTAAAACTTGAAACTTAAACTGAAACAAAAGTGAAAAACGAAGAAGAAAAAGAATCCATAGCTTCCTCCACGGTTCCATCAGCAAGCAGAATCAGATTGGGAATGTTACCCCCAAATTTAAATTTTAGGGTTCACAAAAATTAGAGATTATCCTCCACTTAGGGTTCATAAAATTGGGTAATCTGAATTGTTTAAAACAAAATTAATCCTAATTTTCATAATTAGGGTTCTATAAATTAAACAGACATGAATCAAATATGGGCAGCTCGATACCAATTGTTGGAAAATTAATAATAATAATAATAATAATAATAATCCGATTTTGATTCTAACAATCAAACATAAACATAATCCCATACTCGATAAACATGCTGTAAAGCTGAATGCGAAAGCGTACTCGAATTAGCCATAACGATGATGTCTTTGTAGAAGCACTATATTGATCTTATGGTCTTCCACCGAAGAGCACTCGTAT